TAGATTGATGCATGGTAGCTAGTTGAAAGGACCTCAGATATGATGATTCTATATGATCAATGAGTGTTTGACAAAAAGATTAATAATGTGAGTAGAATTGATTGATATAAGACTCACTGAGTAGTCTGCAGCAATTATCAAGAAAAGAGTGTCAACTATTCAAAGACATTTGTGCCAGTTGTATTGACTTTCATCTCCTAAGCACTTATGACAATCTCAATATCCTGAGAATGGCACATTCTGCAGATTGACATGGTTACAGCATTCTTAAATGCCTGGCTTCCTGCCAATGAACATATATATATGCATCAATCCACCAGGTTCCATGAGGGATGTGGTGATCTGGTATATGAATTGATGCAGAGACTATATGATCTAAAGCAAGCAGCACTATTATGATATAAGAAGCTGTGAAAAATGCTATTGAAAAGAGACTTCCACATCAGTTCTCATGATGCTGGTTTTTTCATAAATGATGTCCACAAGGTCTATATAATCATCTACATAGATGATGTTCACCTATATAGCCTGAATATATTAGATATTGAGTGGACAAAAGCCCAGATCACCACTAATTATGAGATCAAGAATGTGAGCAATTTGAATCAGTATTTGAGTATGAAGATTGATCAGGATGCTGAATCATTATCACTGTCCCAGTCACTGTTCATAAAGAACCTGCTTGAGAAATTCTCAATGAATGACTGTCATCCAACATCTTTCTCTATGGAGAAGAATGTTGATTTCATGAGTGATAATGAAGAATCAATTGCTTATACAGTGGAATTTACATTATATTTCTATCAATCAGAGATTGACTCTTTGCAATATCTTACTGTCAATACACACTCTGATATAAGCTTTGCTGCTGACTTTCTAGAGAGATTCAGCTCTCACTCTATCTCAAAGAATTGAACAGCATTCAAGCAAATTCTTAGATATCTACAAAGCACACCTGACATAGATGTGTTCTACTGAAAAGATATGAATATAGAATCTGTGATGCTTGCTGATGCTGATTGAGTGAACTGTGATTCAGATTCTCACTTCATCACTGAATATGTCATGTATATGACAGGGAGTTCTGTTGCTTAGTGAAGCAGCAAGCAGACAGACATTTCAAAATCATCTATCAAGACTGAATATATCACATCCTCAGAGGCTGTCTATGAGCTTGTCTGCCTTCAGAAATTACTGAAGAATGCTGGCTTCATGCTATTTCAGCTCAATAATCTTGATGATAATGATGATCTGATTGAATCACTGATCAATAAGCTGATGTATACAATTCAGACAGATAATAAATTAGCAATTGAACTGATTAAAAGTGAGGCTATTTCACACTGTTCTAAGCATATAGAGATCTGCTTCCATACTCTTTGGAATCTTGTCTACAAGAATAAGATTTTGATTGATTATGTCTCATTCTCTGAGAACATGGCAGACAGGCTGATCAAGCTGCTTGAAGTGACTAGATACACTCTATGATGACAGATATTAGAAGATGCAGTAAGCAGGCAGAAATGATTATATGGAGAAAATGACTGATTTTTCAACAATATAGGTTTTCCAGTCAAATTATGCACTGATACCTAGCTACAAGCTATTTTTTATATGTAATCTCATGTACAGTTACATCAGTGAGTGAGGATAAATATTTTATTTATATTTAAATTATAGCTATAAATTTAAAAAATTTTATAATTAAAATAATATATTTTTTAATATATTATATTTAATTAATATTTAATTATTAATTTAATAAATTTTAGTTTTAAATAAAAATTATTTTTAAATAATATAAAAAGTTAATATTTTAAATTTTATTTTAAAATTTAATTTTATATTAATTTATATAAATTTTTAACTTTATATATTTATTTTTTCTTTTATAATAATTTATTATATTTTAAATTTATTTAATAATATTTTTGATAATAAAAAAAATATAAAAATTTTATTATAAATATTAAATAATTAAATATTTTATTTTTTTAATATAAAAATATAATTTTATAATATATTTTAATTATATTTATAAAAAAATTAATTAAAATTTTATTTTATTATAATTATTTATATAAAAATATTTTAAATATTTTCTTTAATAAAAAAATAATAAAAAAATTAATAAAATTATATAAAAATATTTCAAATTTTAAAAATATCTTATAAATATAATGTAAAAAAATTGTTAAAAATAATAAAAAATAAATAAAATAGAAAAATATTAAAAAATATCAAGAAAAAAGTAATATATTCTTTCTGCGCCATTGTACCCTATTTCAATATGAAAATATGAAGGTAATATAATATGATTGACATGATAAACAAAAGAAAACGAGTTTAAAACATCAAAACCATAAACTAGAAAATGAAGAATTGAGAATGAAAACATAAAATAGATCAATGACATCAGGCCTGGTAGGATATAATATTAAAATAGAAAATATCAAGAAAAAATGTAGCGTCGGGCTGATATAATTGGACCGGATGGATGCGGGTGTAGATATAAAACGAGGATAAAGCAGCCTATTTTTTAAGAATATGTAGAAAATATTATGCGGACGCTGGGAATTAAACCCTTTTTGTTCGGAATGAAAATGCAAGAACACAGGTAAACAGGTGGGTTGTGCTAATAATAAAAAGAAGCTGGTTAAAACACAATAGATAAAAATGTGGCTAATAGATAACGGCATTAAAACAAACAAATGCTGGTAGACTTTGACCGAATACCTTCTTCTGGGTTATGATACCTAAATGAGATAGGGAATGAGAGAGCACATGTAGTAACATTCAGTTTGGAAGTGTAAATGTTAGTGCGGAGTTTAATGGATGTATCAATGCGTCTAGCAGTGACAAAACGAAAACGCAGGATAGTCGAAGAACGTCATGGTTGATAAATAGGACACCTATCACCTTTGAGGATAAAAAAGTAGAGGTGGAAAGAACGCCGTTATCTTCTTTTAAGTGTTGAGTGGGAGGCGTATCGGTGAATTCATAGGGTGGTTTCAAAAGGGAGAGACTCGGAGGGTTCGTTAAAGGCGTGGTCGTTCGTCGTCATGGTTGGTGGGGTTGACATTCGACTATAGTTAGGATCGTTCCAGGCATGGACGTCTGCCATAGGCAGAAGGGGGTAGTAGTGGCCAGTAGTTTCGCTATCGACCCTGATTCGGTCGATCAGGATTGGGCTGCCCAGTCTGGCTGGCGGTAGGATTTACCCATTCCACTGTTCCATTCCGGGACGCTACGGGAATCTTTGTTTCATCAGACGATGCGCTGTTGCCGTTGTTGCTGGTGTTGGTATTAAGCTGTTCATTGGGGAACAAGTTGTTGATTTCCATCGCAATCGCCTGAGCCATGTATCCACGAAGTTCCCGCTCCTCCCGCTCATCCTCCTTCATCAATCGTCGACGCTCCTCTTTGGAAAGATTATCCCGTCGCATTCGTCGTATTTCATGGATGACCCAGAGTAGAACCTCCTCGGGAGCACGTGTACGGGACATGCCGTGTTTTACTGGGTTGCGAACATATCGTCGTGTAACGTCTGTTGCGCCGTCGATTGAGAATGCAATACAATATGCCATTTTGCGATTCCACCCTGCAGCAAAATAAATAAATAAAAAAATAAAAAAAAAATTGCGATTAATTACGGCTACTAATTTAATTTAAGGAGCCCACGAAAATGGAACATACCTTCAGTATATAGCCGGGGGTTATCCCAGGCCTCTTCGCAAGCATCGACGTGAATCCACCTCTTTTGATGTTCCGAATACACTTCAGTCCACACGTAGTCCTCAGAATTCCAGACCCATCTGACTCGACCACCCACAGCCCTGCACAACATCGAAAAGCAGTTGGCCCATTCACCCACCCGTCCCCGTCGTGACTGCAACAGGGCCCAAACATCTGAATAGCGGGGGAATCTCTCATTTGCTCCACAACCTGGATCTGAGCATCGATAAAGTTCAACTCGAGTTGCGCCGCGAGCAGTTTCGTCAGGGGTAGGAGGGGTCATCCCTTGGGCGATGGTAGGGCTGTAGCAGATGGAGCAAGGGGGGTTATTGACGAATTGGAAGAAGGAACGTTTGAACCACCTACAAGGTGTTTTAAGTTAAAATAATTGATATTAAAATTGAATATAAACGAGGAAAATGTTGAATAAAACATACCTTAGCAGGGCCTTGATGACACAATCTTGGTAACCCCACTGGGGTTTCACATTCTCACCCATACTGGCAGCCTCAGCCTGTAATATTTGACACTCCTCCTCTGCTTCAGCATACAGCCTATCCAAAGGGATTACAGCCAGGGCTTCATCGAGCAAGCCCGGGTTTTCATATTTGGTTGGTGTGACGGACAAGACATGGAGCAGATTGCGGAATTTGAAGGAGGTTGGGTCTTGAGGAGGGGCTGGGACAAGAGGGAGACTTCGAAGAGAGTATGATGGTGGCTGCGAGGGTGATTGTGAGGGTTGTTGTTGTTCTTGTTGTTGTGATGATTGTGGTTGCGGATGAGTTCGTTGTGAGTAAGATTGATAGTTATGCATGAGTCTGTGGGAGGGAGCTGGAGAAGGAGAAGCAGTTCTGGAGCGGGAGCGTTCCTGCAAGGAGTTCAGACGGCGGGTCCGCAACAATTGCTCGAACTGTCTTGTGAGTTGCGAGGCATCATAAGCTTTAGAGGACGAGGCAGAAGGACGAGGTGGGCGGGAAGCCCGGGCTCCTGAACGATGAGGACGATCAGTCATGGCAGGACAGTAGGCTGGCAGTGCTTGGCAGCGGCTGTCAGCACCACCAGGAAGAGAGGAGGTTCAGGGTATGCTCCTAGTATTGGAGACGAAGGTGGGGAGGTTTTTAGATGCAGTTGGGATTGATACGACAGAGATGTACGATGGGCGAAGTTAAAGCGGGTAGAGAAGGAGAATCAGAAAATGTCGAGAATCAGGCCCAAAATATTGATTGGTGGATCAGAAGACTGATGGTCAACAAACGGAGGATACAATGGAGGATATGTTCAATGCGATTGAAAGACGGTCGTTGTTCGCAGTGATAGTTAAGATTTTCATTTCCTCCCTAAAAGGGCTGATTCGGAGGGGAGAAGCCAAAGAGAGAGATACTGGAGCGGAAAGAGAATCCACGGCAGTCCAAGTCAGTTAGTTATGGTTTAAAACTTGCGCAAGTGTCTTAAGGAGTCCCAGCACAGCTGAGTTGGTTGTCTTGGCAGTTGGTAGATGCGTGGGTGTGTCAAAGGGAGAATAGGTACACACTTTGGGAGGGACAGAATGTGGTTGTATAGTCAGCCCCAGAGAGAAAAGAAGCCAGTTGACGAAGACGGGGGAGTCGTCGATGGTGGAGTTGGGGGGGTGATGGAGTTGGTGAGGTTAAAGAAGAAGAAGAGGAAGAAGAGGAATGAGAGGAAGAGGAAGACAAAGGAAGAAGATGATGGTAATGGTGTAGATGGTTGGAAGGTTGGAGTTGAGGTTGATGGAAGGGAGGAAGGTGCAGCGTAATAGTATCTCTGGTATGGTAACATACGAGGTATTACGGGGGGCAGTTTCTACACCTCGGCTACTTTTAGAGGTATCCCTTTCCAGCTAGGATCGACGCGGCAACACCTCTTGAATAGCTAACCGCTCACAAGTCATCTTCATAAGAACCTTTCATCATCATCAATCACCACTAACTACCACCACCATCACCATCAAACATTCCCTTTTGCCCATGTCTTTTCCCTCATCACCTACGTTGTTCACGGGGGGTATGTGGTATCTCTGGTGTCGCTGGTATCTTCTGTTCCTTTCTTTTGGCGTCGTAATGGCGTGGGCAGTGACGAATCCACCTGCGTGGTGCCACCTTGGAAGGCAGACCCTTAACCTCTTCAAGCCTAGCTCGGCTTGGCAGGCGTCGTCAGCTCCACGCTCCACGGATGAGGTAATCATCTTTCTCTGATTTGGCCCGTCGCCAGTCGCCAGCTGCAGTCGCCACTCGTACCTGTCGCGAGGAAAACTTGAAGGCTATCAGTAAATTAGTAAGCTCGTTTCTGCTTCTCTAACCCAACCAAATCTGTCCATCTTTTCCATTAATTTATATTGAGATGTATATTTTAAATTACTCTTATGTACCACTCCGTAGTCACTTGATAATAATACTGAAGAAACATAATTGCTATTAATTGGATATGTTGTATGAAAACAAAACTTTCAAACCCTCTGGTTTTATATATTTTTTATTTTCTAATTGTACTTGATAGCTGACTGCGAGAAGCATTCACTCTTTCTGTGTATATCGCCGCTAACCCTCAATGTGCATTACTCCGAGTCGTTTCTCTCTTTGTGTTCATCGACAGATGGTCTGCTACGTTCACTTTCTTAGCGCTTCTTTTCTTGGCTCGATATGTACACGCATTACATCCACATAAACGTATATATTCTGCCTAATTCAGATTCGCAATCTTCCCTCGTTCACGTTTGATGAATTAAACGCTCTAACGATATTCCGCTTCTCTGGCCTAAGGCCTTGTCACGGTTATCTACCAGAACCTATCTATGATTGGTTCCCCGAACGCTTCGTCGACATTATTTTTACAATGTTTTTTTTTTTTTTTTTTTTTTTTTTTTTTTTTAAACCCGGACCACCAAAAAGCTAAAAATACAGAACCCATACTCTATTAGGCAGGTAACTACGGAGTTCATCGTAGTCCGCTAATGACAGAGTAGGACTAACTAGTTTGAACAAACCTCGTTTGAAAACATCCAATCAGGCACCCGGATTTCGACGCACGCAATCGGGGTTGGTGTTGCTCGTCCAAAACTGGTTTAAATAGCTTCTTGGGTTATCCATGTTTCTAAAAGGGCAATTATATTTTGACCAGCAGTGCTTCGTACCGTAGTTTCTAGGTCTCTGTAACTACATACATTTTATTTTAGCCATGGACCCATGGCTTGAAACGGTATTTTAGCAAACATTATTAACAGCTACAGAATGGAAATACTTAATATCATCGTTTTGGAGATTAAATAGAAGAAGATTCATTCTTAAAGAAGCATGCTCTCGTCCTCACCAAACGGAAACTTCATACCAATATTGCTAGTTACTACTGGCCGGAAATCTGGAAATCGATTACGCGGCTCACCCAACTGATTCGTCAGAATTGAACGGGTACGTGTATTGGTATTTACCGTTTAGATTACGGTATAGTTGCTCTGAACAAGGGTCCATACGCAGTATTGCTTACATTTTTAAAATATGTTGATCAAGTTGCTGCCAGAAATCTTGACCTCAAGCGCATTGAAAAATTTGCCAGCAACCAGTTGGGGGGAATAGGCGGAACCTACTTTAGCTTCCCTTCTCCGCAAGATGTTAGTTAATCATACGATTCTACGCCTACGATTCTACGCCCAATATTGCCTTTCCTCATGCGAGAGGGGTCCAGGGTAAGAAAAGAAGATTTCATACCCGGCCAAAAACAAATATTTGCCTACCTACCTAGGTGCCTCCAAGTTAAATGGTGTACGTGTGCACGTATTCATATGAATGTTGAAAGGGTACTCATCCTAAGCAGTCGAATATCACAATCACTCCACAAGATTATGCCAGCTTCGACGATGTAAATACAGCTATTGTCTTCATTGACGCTTTGAATAATAAGGTGTTGTCATTAAGTGATTCAAGGCCAGGTAATCCCTATCTCTCCTCTATTGCCATCGATCTTCTAGTGGTTAAGGCGTTTGATGCACTTTCTTCTTCCGCCGCCTGTGGAGAATATTCCATCATACCACCTCTCAATTCTATATTGAGAGTCACCTTGCAGGAAATACTTAAGCATGCCTGCGTATCTGTACGGTTTCTATGGTTTGCAAGTACATATCCGCTTTTTATACTATAGATAGGCACCCTCATCGGGCTAGAAGAGAAAAATGGGTCGTATATACGCGAATGTGCGTCTGTATGTCTCTATGGTTTTCAAATTTCAAGTCCTGTCTTATCATTGCCATATACACTATTCCGCTCAATTCTTATTACTTGCCTCCATTACACATTCCCAACTGATATCCGTTACTCATGGTCCAGTTCGACTAATACAACTTCCCACCAGTTCATAGGCAGGGGCACCCCAATAATTTAGTTCCATATGGTGAAATGAATTACGTTAACATATCATTTACTTTATAAAGGATTACGTCGCTCGCATACCATCCCACCTCCGCAAAATGTCAAGTGGTGGGAGAGAGGATTTTTTCCCCCCGACTAGGAACTTTGACCCAAACGTGCACACATACGTCCATACATTCAGGTTCCATCCCCTTCACACACCCCACCCACACTCGTCATAGCTCCCGCCTGCGTAACACATGCTTGCTTTCGCTTATAGATCCCTGATGAAGAAACGCATGGCACTCCTAAAGTCTCTCCTTGTTTACCCACGTAATCCTCCGATGTGGAAGAAAGAAAAGAGACAGGTACGGGCGAGATCTTATCACATGGACCCACCTTTTCCTCCGGGAAAGGATTCTTGGAGGGAAGTTGACTCAAGGTTATAGCGATATTGATTGGTCCATTGGACTGGCACTGAGCCTGCTGCACAATGTCAGTTGGCATCGCTGGAGGGAAATACGTGCTAATGGTACAGGTATGGAAGTTACAATACATTACTGTCCGTTCATCGTGCATATATATATATATGCAAGGGATTTTAGATTTGTGTGGTTTTTCTTTTGGGGTGATGGGGTCTGCTTTCTTACGTACGTACGTATGTATGTATGTCGGTGAAAGAAGGCGTAGCGGGAAGAGAGACACAATGGTTATAAAGAGACCGAAGAAGAAAAAGAAGTATATACTAACGTTGAATTAAAGAGATATTTTCAAAACATTTTCATTGGTTCTACTAATGAGATAATATGGCTTTGTGTTCGAGCACACATCTCTATCTGGTGGAGAAACAGTGGGGATATAGAGACTCATCTGTTATATCCATTTGTCATATCTTTTATTAGTTGAGGGTTTCGGAGAGGGGGGTTGAAAGGAGGTTAAGAGAGAGCTAAAGAACTCCTATCAAAGTGTAGCAAATGAAAATGCAAAAAGAAGAGCGATCTTTGAGAACTAGATAGAATAGGGGTTATAGTCAGAATCCTTAAAAGCCATCCATAAAACCATTTTCTAAAATGATGAATAGAAAAGCCGAAAATTCATTCTTGTAAGGATGATTGTCAAGAAAGGACTCATTCCCATTTCCCTTTGAGTTTGAATTACTGTTTACATATCTCGAGTTTCAGAACGTACAAACAGTAATGACAGAATGGTGCAAAAAGGGGATGTTGCAGTCCATGAACTTGCATCAATCTATGAATACCTACTTCTTCACATTGAATTCAATGTTGGTAGCAATCTATTTCTCTTATATTTTGCATTTTTATGCATTGAAATCCAGGATATATATATTACACAAAGGCAACTATATCTTTATGCATCGAACAGCAATATTCTAATCCCCATCTACCGCCTATCGCTTGTTCGAGCAAAGGAAGCACACCACAAGTCTATTAGCAAATAATAATGCTATGTACCTCAGTACTTCGCTCATCCAAACCCTTCCTATAGGCCCATCTACAGCACTGCAAATGCAGAAACATAACTAACCGAACTATCCCCCACAGCCACAACATCCGAGCTCCTCTCATACCGGATAAAATGGAACCTACATTTCTGCATCTCACCATCTACAGCATCGAGTTTACCACCCCCTTCTTTGCTACCCCTAACAATCTCCAATCCAGCCATAACCACCCCGATAGGATGCCTCCCGCAAATCGTGTTGCCCGTCTTCCTCAACGCGTCCAAAAACCCGCGCGTCTCCCCCGACGCAATGGCTGTCATGCACGCAACATCACACGCAGAGATACTTTCATGAATCAGGGGGACACCAGCAACGCCTTTACGCACGCGATCTTTATCTTTAACCTTCAATGAAATCCCTCCCGCTACAGCCTCAATGGCTTCCGCTGCAACTCCGGCATCAGAAGTGGACGGTAAAGGCAATTGCGGATACGAGAGCGGCAAAGATTCCGCGGGTTTCCGGGCATTGGGGACGTAATATGTATGGCCGAAGCGGAGGCCCCAGTGGCAAAAATCCGAGGAGATTATGAAAGCGTTTGATGGGTCAGCGAGGTACGGAGCTAGCACGGAACCGAACGCTGCTTCAGCGGCTGGAAGGGTGCTGCCGACCATTATTGGGACGAGTGGTGGGTATTGGGCTGTGGGCTTTGTGGGATAGAGGCGACGGAGGAGGTGGTGGATGTAGGGCAGGTGGAGTTCTAGGCTGTGTTCGGCAGAGTCGACGGCGGGGGACATGGTTGTAAAGCGGTGGTTAGAGGCATTGGTAGAAGTCAGGAGGTGGGCGATTAATTCTGTGTCAAGGGGGAGGGGTTCGCGGGAGAGAGGGGTTAAGTAGCAGGTTAGTTGTGGAAGGGCAAGTGTGGAAAGAATGTGGTTGTGGGAGGGGCCGATGAGGAAGATGCGTTCTCTTAATTTGAAATTTGTTTTGTGTTAATTGGGATGAATATGGATATGGTCTAAATCAGTGGAGGGGGTTGGCTTACGCATTGGAGAGGTCCAGTGTCTTGTAAGCGAAAGCAGCGCAAGGTCCCGAGTAGGCGTAGCCGGCATGACTGTGTGGATACATGTGTTAGTGACAAACATACTGATGATTTGAGTGGAGGGGCCAGCGTACGGAGCAATGATAATTCTGGCTCCGGGGATGGGAAGGGGACCTATATCAGGCAATTCGTCAGGGACCTGTGCAAGCCACTGGTCCAGCTGTTTGGAGAGAGTGGGTTCGTGGTCTGAGTACCAGGATCCAGCATGAGTTGCTTCTCTGGAGGGCATTCTGAGTGGGGATGAAGTGTAATTTGAAATATGGGAATTCAAGTGGTACAGATACGTGCAGGATATCAAAGAGCTATGTTGAGAGATACGTTGGGTATAGATGCTGTCGTTGGTAGTTGTTTGTTGAAATTGATGACGGTGTTGTGGTGGGGAAGTCGGGATCTGGTTGGTCTACCGGCATGCCGAGAGTCAAAAGTTTGTTCGGCATGCCGAAGTTTGCTTCCCTGCCGCATACATACATAGTATTAGGTAAGCATAAATGACAGCGCAGCTAAGCACCAGCTAATCAAAACAACGAGAAATGTAATTCTAGAGAGAAATTCAAAGCAATGATTGCATATATTGTGAACTTGAGCGGTTCTTCATTCAATCACGAAGTAGTTACATGCAAATCATGGAATCGTCTTGTTCCGCTCGTAGTTATGCGGATAAGACTACCCAAAATCGCCGTATATAAAAAAGAGCAGAGTTGATGATCCAAATATTATAACTAGTTGATTTTGAAGGTTTTGAATTGCTGCTTTACTTGCCAGAGCAAAGAAGTGGCTAGAACACTTAAATCTAATGAGGCCCAGCGTTGTATCAGTGGTTGAATTGCATACCGTAATTACGCATCTCATCCAATCAGAACGTTTTCAGTACGAAAAATCTGGGCTTTGCAGCGGTATCGAACGGTATTGTGTGGTATTATGACGTATTTCGTGTATTAGGTATTCCCTCGCGTTTGGCAAGGTGTAAAGATACCCGCGTCTTTTTCTTCGGTTTCCTTTTGCAACCCCAGAACTTGTCCGTCACTCCAGATATATCCCCTCATAGTTGAGGACCTTGTATATACAGATACCTCACATAGATACCATATATATTCTAGAATAATCGTCCTCAATTGTTGTTATACTTACTATATTCTATCCTACCCTGACTTCCTTCACTCCATTCATTACCATGTCTCTCAAGCGAAAGGCGTCCTTCACCACCATCACCTCCCCCGGGAGCTACTCAACCTACTACAATCCCACCTCTACAGTCCCCTTCCTGGGTACCGCTACCGTCACTATCGACGAGCAACCACGACACCTGCACAGCAGAACGCGAAAACGGTTCCGCAACGACCGGCCAGACGACCAGTTGATATACGGTATGCAGAATGGATACCCATACCAGGAGCATTGGAGTTGTTGGAGTTGGAGTACGGTACATTAACCAATCAAACTAATTCAAACCTGCAGATAAAACCATCAAATGGCTGTTTTCCGCTCAGAAAAAATTGCAGAATTCCATACCCTCCCCAGTCGCAGCGGAGGACACTTGTGACAGTTCCGAAGAACAATCACCCACGTTCACAATGCCAGATCCAAACCAGCAAACGCTGCAAAAGTTCTTCCAACCACTTCGTGTCTCCCAGACCCAACAAGGCCATCAGCTAGGGAATTCGATGCCCCTTGTACAGCCATGCCCAATTGATATATCAAGGACCCAAACGCAGCAATGGGCTGCCAGTACTGCTATTACTGTTTCCACAGAGGTGGATCCACCCCCTGCTCTCTCCCACTCGGTATCCTCTGGTATCATCTCTTCTGAAGGCATGGATGTGGACGTGGCTATGGATGTCGATTGTGCTGTTATCGAGGATTTCAGCTCAGTACCGCTAGACATGGAGAAGAGATGGGTTGGCGGCATTGGGTGGATGTAACTGTTTCTTTTTTCCTCTGCCTACCCTTCGCTTATTCTGTTCTTACTTGTTTATTCTGTAGTATTATTATTTGCCTTGTAGGAGTTTGGTTCTTCTGTGCTGTATCCGTATTTATTAGCTTCATGAAGTCGAATTATCTGATCGGCTTTCTATTTGTTGAAACTGATAACTACGTTATTGATTATTAATATATCTCTGGACCATCCCTATCCTCCACTCGTTGGCGACCTTCCCATCCTCTAATAGGTAATAACCGGGCCCTAGGGGTTTGATTTCCTAATCAACCTCCAGTCAGACCCTCGCATACCGCCACCTCAATATGAAATATTTTTTTATCTGGGATATTAAATTAATTTATCAACAAATGTAGCAAGATTCATTAAATACAACTTGATTATATAGTAGACAATCTATTTATAACTCTCTCTAATAAATTTGATAATTTTAATATTAACACTTTTTGCTTTTACAATATTATTTAAATTTTATTATAACTTTTATTTATTTTAAATATAATTTCTCTGATATCTTCAGATTATAAAGCTTTGATGCATGACTGTTATCTTGCATATATTAGATGCAGATATAACTTCTTTCTTATGTACTACTCTTTAAGATGCTCACTGATAATGTTCATAAGCTGTAGTAATTGTAGTAGTTTTAAAAAACTCATTTTGCAAAAGAGTTACTATATTGATTATTGCAATACTACTCTTATAGAGCTTCTTTAATTCAATTTGAATATAATCAAAGTCTTTGATGTTTATCATAGTCTTTAATTTGCATTTATATCAGTTAAATTGACTTACACTTAAATAACAGCTTAATGCTTTCCTTAAAACTTAGTCAATTTTAGAATTTTGATTCAAAAATACTCTTATTTGAAAGCTTTTACTGAAATTGATCAATCACTCAATTTTCATATAATTCAGATAAGATTTCAAGGATTGATTGTTAAAAATATACTTTTCTTTAAAAATTATATATTCATTAACAATTTTCATCATCAATTCATAATACTTAATATAAAAAGTGTGAAAACTGAATAAATATGAGATTAATTAAATAAAAATAATTTAAATAGTTTTCAAAAGCTATCATCATCTCATTATTGAGAAAACACATATTTGAGCTCTTTGAAATCTTTATTAATTTTTATTTTTCTTTTATCATATCAAGTATTTTTTCACACTACTATTATCAAAGTTTATTTAAATAGTAGAAAAAATATCTATAAAAAGAAAAAAGCATATAATTTAAAGTTTTTATATCTAATCTTTGTAGACTATAAGCAAAAGATTAGAACTAGCTAAGTATAGCTGAGAATAGAAGTAAGCTAGAAATAAGTATATACTTATAAAATATTTTATAGAATTGAGCTTTAACTAATTCTTTAACATGCTTAATAAACCTCAGTTAAAACTCAGTTAAAATCAATTGAAGCTTTAATTAAATCTGATTAAGCTCTAGTAGAGAAGATGTTTTAGTGAAATCTATGAGTTTCTTTTAAAATATTAGTTTTTTCTTGATTTCTATTTAAAAAATCAAGAAAATACTATTTAAATTTAACCTTTTTATTGATAAAAAAAAGTATAAATATTGATTTTATATCAATTTTAAAAAATTAAGTTATATACTAGTTATATAAGTAAAATTTCTTTAATATACATAGAATCAATCAGTTTTTAATAATTTTTCTATAAAAAAAAATATTTTTTTACTAATTTTTTTATCCAAAATTAATAGTTTTTTTCTGACTTAATCAGAATTAAAATTATTAGTTTTTTACTTGTTCTGTATTTCAAGAAGTGATTTTAAAGATTTTATTAGTTTATCTTAAAAACTGATTTTAGTTTACTAGCTTCTTTTGAAAAATCTAGTCTAGTTATTGAACTAGTAGTAAAATTATAAAGATTCTATCAAAGCTTGTTCAATCAAATATATAAGAACTATAAATAGAAGTTGAAATATAAAAAAATACTTTTTATATCTAAAATAAAGAAAAAAACTCAAAAAGAAACTTAACAAAAACTTTCTGAATGAAAGATTAAAAAAAGAAATAAAAGAGATAAATTATTAAATCAAGTTAAATAGCTTAATAATCTAGAGCTTGCAGTATATATTTTAAAAAATCAAGTAAATAAAGAGGAAAACCAGAAGATTATTAATTTTTTAATTTCAATATTAAAATAAATTTATGAAATCATTAAGTTTAAAGTGAATATGATTAGCTCAATCATATATATTTTATTTCAGCCTTAAACTAGTTAATCTAAACAGGAAATTCTTACTCAGAATCAATTAAAAGTAGTACATAATGTAGTTAAAAAATCTATTTTTGTATAAGTAATTACTACTTCTATTTCTGCTACTGCTCAGTCAATGTCTTTAAAAGTTTCAGAGAAAAAAAACTTTAAAATCAGAGAATAAAAAAGTTTTAAAATAAGAAAAACTAAATCAATTAAAAAAATAATATCTTATTCTAAAGCTTTTAAATAAAAAAGTAATAAGTCAACTTCAGAGCTTAAAAATAATTTTTGAGTTAATAAATTATTTAAATCAAAATCTTTTCTCAATAATAATAAATAAAAAAATAATCTTTATAATCAATATCACTTCATGAGAAACTCTGTAGTAATTATCATATTACTTGAATTCTCAACTAACTTTTTCATTGAAAATAAGAAAGAATAAAGATTTATACTGAAAAAAAAAAAACCTATAGATAAAAATCAAATTAGATAAAAATAAGAATTGAAAAAAATCAGTTATATACAATATTTTTAATAATATTTTTAATAATTAAAAAGGTATAATAATACTGACAAAAGAGATAAAAGATTATAATTTTATAATTTAACTAAAAAAAATCTTATTTGACTCAGTAAATTTAATATTAAACAAAAGAAAGAAGTAGAATCAATATTGATTATAACTGAGTCTTCAGAATAGATAAAAATCTTATCACTTTTTATAGCTGATTAAATGCTAAAAACTTTAAATATATTAATTCTCTATCTATAGTTAAGATTTATATTTATGTTATAACGTAGCTACTTATATATAGATTAAGGTTGATCTATCTTGCTATACTTTTAAGATTGATTTGACCTACTATGCTTTAAAGATTGATCTGTTCTAACCTTAATCATATTCAGTTGCTCATATTGATATGATATGATTTAATTCTCAATCACTTATATATTCAGTTACTCATTCATTCTTTATTTTAATCCTCAGTTTAGTATTCTCATTATAGCTACTTAGTTAGATAGATGAATTTAAGCTATTGTCTTGTTGTTATTCTGAC